CCCCAAAACCCCAAAACCCCAAAACCCCATGCTTTAAATTTAAAGCACAAATCTAAAATATAAACTAATTCAACAGTGAATATCTTTATTAGTCAAGCAAATCCCTTGGATCTATGAGCAGCTAAGCACTTCATAGAGCAGTAGTTATTGTCCATCTTCTCAAATTTCTAATGACTCTCCTCAAATCTACCCTTGCACTCTCTACAATCCCATTTAGGCGTAGGAGCCTATGGTTCTTCCAACTGCTATTCTCTCCATAGTAATAGACTGCTGGGGTTTTATATCAAAAGCTAATCTATAATACCCTAAGGTAAACCTTTCAAAAGCTTATCAAACAAGGCTGTATATCCTCTGCCTCCGTAAAATGACAAATGAGTTTTATGTTGAATTCCATTTGATACTAATAACCTATGCTATTGGCCATTATCAATCATCATAGATATGAACTTCCTCAAAACAAAAACTGATTGTTTATACTTTTCACAAGACTGATCTAAATCGCCCTCATCATAACTTGCAAGATTATGATTGTAAAGAGTTAGACATAGATATGATTCAGAGTTATTGAGTATATAATGAATGCTAGGATGAACCTCTAAGTTTTCATTCATGGGATTTTAGATCATGTATACTATGGATCTGCCCTTGGTAGCTGCGAATCTGTCAACTAAGGAAGGTATTTGAGAGGAGTTTGAACCTAAGTTCAAAAAGATAGGGCATCCTTCATGAATTAGTTGGTAGTTTTAGCAAGCATCAAGCATGTGCTTTTGATAGTAATCATTAGGGTCAGTGATAATCAACTCTCCAATAAACGAGGGCAGCATATTCTTCCTTCCAGTTTTCATCTCAAATTCTATATCATGCTTCATCTGATCTTGAATGTTATCTATGCTCAGTAATCTGCCCAAGTAATTAGAGGATGGAGTGTATCCGAACAGTACCTTTATATTGTTCTAGGTTTGCTCTTCTACTCTTTTGATCTTGTCAAGGTCCAAGCCATTAAATCTCGTTGATAAGTCCAGTATGTAGCCTATTTTATCAGAGATATGTTTCAAATCATGCACTAATCTCTCCATTTGATCGCTGATTACTAAATTCTACATATTCGAGTAGGGGTTCTTCTAGATGCGTCTCAGATTCTATAAGGTGATCTACTCTGCATTCTTATTTTTGCAATACTTAGTTAAATCCTAGGTGATATATTCTCCTACCAAGAAGCCTTTTGATACTTGATGATCTTTATAAAGTGTTTCCATTTCTAATTTAAATATTGACTGTTTAATTATAAAGTTTGGTTAATTAGCACATATTCATTATTTAATTAACACGGGGTTTTGGGGTTTTGGGGTTTTGGGG